CAGGCTCCCCTCAGCCCCACTGTGTTCCCTTAACCTGCATGACCCTGGGCACCCGGCCCCGTGGGTGTCTGCCTGGCGGGCCGCCGCCTCCTCGGGGCCTAGGCGCCGTGCCCATGAGGCCAGCAGAGGCCCCTTCTCTGGCCAGGGGTACCGGCTCTGGGCAGGCAGTGTGGGAGCAGCGGCCGCCACGGCCTAGGCCCAAGCGCTCTGTCGCAGGAGGCTCTGCCCTTATGGGGTTAGTTGTCGTCTCCCCAGGGTGTGGAGCGGGCTGGGCTCTGGGAAGGGCCGAGTCCCGGCTCTCCGCTGGCCAGCTGGGAAGTTTCTGGCTCCCGCAGCCACAGCCGGCATCTCAGGGACTCTGACTCAGCGGGAGGTGACGAGGTGGGGCCCGAAGTGGTTTTCGGAACGTGAGAACAAGGGCCTGGACGCAGCGAAGGCAGAGGACGGCGCTGGCCTAGAAGGGTGGCCATCTGCTCCAGCCAGTGCTGCAGCCACCCACACTGAGCTGGGCGGGCGTGGAGGGGGCCCTGGGCCGAACGAAGCTGGGGACCCTGCCCCCGTCCCGCTGGGCTGCATGCTCGCACGTGGTGGGTCCCGCACAGGACGTCACGGAGCAACCAGTGAGCCGCCACTCCCCACCCTCCTGGCAGGGCCGACGGAACACCCTAGCCCTGAACTTCCCGCTCCTGACCTGCTGCTCAGGGAGCTGTCTGTTGATCTGTGCTGCCGGGAGGACACAGCCCCTGGGAGCGGACTGGGCAGCACTTCCGGCCCCCTCCCCTTCTCCCTGCCTGTGGCCAGTGGGTCGGGGGGGCTCCAGGCAGGAGAAGCCCTGGGCAATGCCGGGTCAGTCGTGCCTGGAGACAGGCGGCATAGCGGTTGGGGGCCGAGGCTGGACCCTCTGCCTCTAGCCTGGCCACTGGCCGGACTCTGGCCCCTCCCGCTCTGGTGCTGGCCCTGCCCAGGGATCTGAGGGCTGCCAGAAAGAGGGGCTGGGCTGGGCTGGGCTCCATGCTGGACGCTTATTCAGGGGTGCCAGAACCCGCCTCCGTCTGAGTGCGGTGTGAGCAGTCTGGGCTGGGGAAGGGGCCCCCCTGTTTTTTCGCCAGACCTCCCTTCCCAAGGCTTCTGTGATGTTGGGAGTGTGGACCGGAGCTGGGGAGGGTGCAGGGCTGCGCAGCGTCTCGATGGCATGAACAGGCTTAGGGTGAACCGTTGGCCATTAGGTAGCGGTGAGTCCCGTGCTCCCCTGCTCCCCAGGCCCTCTCAGGTCACATGCCTCCACCGGGATTTCTGGAAAGTCCTGGGGAGGCCCTGGGGCTGTGGGGCAGGGCGGGGCAGGTGGAGGCGGTCTCTGCCTCCAACGGACACCTTCTTCCTGTCCAGATGCCGTGGTTCAAGGGCTGGAAAGTGGAGCGTAAGGAGGGGAACGCCAGCGGCGTGTCCCTGCTGGAGGCCCTGGACACCATCCTGCCCCCTACACGCCCCACAGATAAGCCCCTGCGCCTGCCACTGCAGGACGTGTACAAGATCGGCGGTGAGTGACGGTTCAGTGCTGGACGCTCCACCTCAGGCAGCTGGCCCAGCCCACCCTGGCCGGGTCTACCCCTCACACCCAGCTCCTGAGACCAGGGCCCCTGACAAGGAGGGTTCGAGGCCAAGTTATCTGCCTGTCCCTCAGTGCTGCACACTTCCTGGGGGCCATCCATCCACCTGTCCATCTCCCGTCCATGCTCCATCCATCCATCCACCCCATCCATCCATCCATCCATCCGTCCATCCACACATCCATCCACATGTCCATCCACCACCCATCAATCCACACATCCATCCATCCACCCATCCATCCATCCATCCGTCCGTCCGTCCATCCACCATCCATCCATCATTCATTCATCCATCCATCCATTCATCTCTATCCAGACGACTGTTTACCCCACACATTCATCCATCCATCCATCCATCTACCCACCCATCTGCCTATCTGTCCATCCAGACATCCACCCACCCCTCCCATCCATCTCTCCATTTATCTCCCCATCCATCCATCCATCCATCCACCCACACACCTACCCACCCTTACCCGTTCATCCATCTGTCCAGGGTCTTTCTCTCTTCAAGTAAGCACTGAGCCCTGTGCCAGGAGTTGGTGGCATAAGGGTAACTCAGATGTCCCCTTCCCCCATGGCCGTCCCAGTCCTGTGGGAGACATGACCTACCCCAGGCATGAGAAATGCTATTCGTGAGATGACAGAGAAACCACAAGCAGACATGAGGCCCACAAGGGGCACCGTGGAGACCCCCAGCCAGGGGGCTCGTGCAGAACGGGGGTGTCACACTCACCTAGCACAGAAAACCGCCACCAGCCTCAATGTCTGTCATACCACAGCCAGGGATATGGGAGTAGGGTCTCCCTGCATGCACGCTGGGGGACCCCGCATAGCCACTGAGCAGGCACACAGGCGTCAGCGGACCCATGAGAAGCGCTGGTGCCACAGTGTCCCTCTGGGGGTGGCTCCCTGAGACAGGAGGCAGTCCTGGGTGGATGACATTGACCCGTGCTGCTGCTGCTGCCTCGCCAGGAGGGGCCTCAGAGAAGGGAGGGGTCCCCACAGTACCGCCCCCGGTCGAGATGGGCCTCCCTCTGCCCACGCTCCCCCCCGCCCCCCACTTTGCTCCCGCCCAGCACCACTAGGGGTTCTCTCTTGTTCAGTCCTTTCTGTTCCCGACAGAACAGGCCAGGGGAGCCTCCACTTCTATCTGAACCTCAGTGTCTGCCTTGTCTGGGGTCTCCCCCGTCTCTGCACTCTGCCCATGTGGCCACACCTGTCCCCCACCCCTCACAGCCCTCTTTCCCTCCACCCAGGCATTGGCACCGTACCCGTGGGCCGAGTGGAGACGGGCATCCTTCGGCCGGGCATGGTGGTGACCTTTGCACCCGTCAACATCACCACGGAGGTGAAGTCGGTGGAAATGCACCATGAGGCCCTGAGCGAGGCCCTGCCTGGTGACAACGTCGGCTTCAATGTGAAGAACGTGTCGGTCAAGGACATCCGCCGAGGCAACGTGTGTGGGGACAGCAAGTCCGACCCACCCCAGGAGGCTGCCCAGTTCACCTCCCAGGTGCGTGGCTGCAGGGGCCGGTGTGGCCTGTTCCCTCAAGGGTGGTGGGGCTGTCATCGTACGGTGCTGGGCGCCTGGGAAAACGTAGACCCCCGCTTTACAAACGAGGCCACCCAGGCCTGGAGAGGCTGGATCAGGGCTGAGGGCACTCACGGGAAGAGCGGACACCGGAGGGGCCCGGCCTCTGAACCTCACTGAGGTCCCGCTTGAGTCCTGAACATGTTTTTAGTAGTTTATTGCCGGAGGCATCTCTACATTTTTCTTTTATTCTCTTCTCGACATTTTCACGGCACCCTCTTGGTCACCTCTTCGTGTGAGAACAGGTGTAAAAATTGGCTTCCTTGACATATAACCGAAGTGTAATAACTGAGGTCCGCTTTTCTCATCCCCCTGCCTCAGCTCTGGCCAGTGCAGACAGGAGTCCTGCCCAGTGGCCCTTCATGCAGTGCACTTGCTGGCTGTTTCTCTCCTGTGGTTTGCCAAAGGCTTGATGAGGACCCTGGGGTCCATGTCAGGGGTGTGGGTCCCTGACCTTTCCTCACGGCCAGCACCTGGGCCCCTGGGCCTGAAGCTTCGCTCCGATGCCGTCTCACCCCCTCTGGGCACGCCTGACGGCCTTGTGCCCTTGTGCACCTCTTCCTCCAGGTTATCATCCTGAACCACCCAGGGCAGATCAGTGCCGGCTACTCACCGGTCATCGACTGCCACACGGCACACATCGCCTGCAAGTTTGCCGAGCTGAAGGAGAAGATTGACCGGCGCTCAGGCAAGAAGCTGGAGGACAACCCTAAAGCCCTGAAGTCCGGTGACGCAGCCATCGTGGAGATGGTCCCTGGGAAGCCCATGTGTGTGGAGAGCTTCTCACAGTACCCACCT